TAGTTGTATTATTTTTTTAATTTCAATTTCTAAGTGCTCTATCTAAGCCAAAAATGAATACGCAAAATTCAACTTTATTACCATGTAGATACATATCCCCAATCTTGACTTTTTCCGTCGGCAAAAATAAAAAAGTTTGTTGACTTTTTACAATTGTTCAAGGGCTTAAGGCATTGAAATTTACACTTTCCATCGTCAAACTGTTGAACATATAATTAAGGCCAACATGATCATGCTGCAATATTTGGCTACTACTTTTCATGCCGATGTTTAAAATGGATAAGATTTATGGACTTTTTTTCCTCCTTCCGTACGTCTCCTGCATACCATTCTCATCCAAATTATCCTATAAATAGGACAGTAGCCATTGTAAACCCCCACCATATCCAAAACAACAAACACCATATTTGCCTTGTCTGAGAGTATAGCAAAAATGTTGAGATTGATTGCAGCCTTTAGCTCGACATGCCTCCTCATGGCCATGTTAGCAGTAGCTCAACCACCATACGAGTCACAGCCTTTCGTGCTCGATACCAATGGTCAGCCTCTTGAACGCGGTGTAGCATACTACATCGACCCTGATGTGACCGATATTGGTGGTGGCATAACCCTGATTGACAGGAACGGCACCTGCCCGTTGTTTGTTGGGCTAGACGAGCTTGCCGCTTCTAAAGGCCTTCCGGTCACCTTCACACCATTTTTCGACAATGAAACTAATGTGAGAGAGTTTAGTGACTTCAAAGTAGCGTTTACATCTGACGTCTCCACCATTTGTATCCAATCTTTGGCTTGGAGGGTAGGGGAAGAAGATCCGGAGACAGGGAGGAGGTTCATTGTGACTGGAGGGGAGCCGGGATACTTCAGGATTGAGAAGAATGGAAGTGTATACAAGTTGGGATGGTGTCCATCGGATGCTTGTCCTAATTGCAGGCCGAGGTGTGGGGACGCTGGTCTTCTGGTTGAGAATGACAAGAGCTTTTTGGCCTTGGATGGCCCTGCACTCCCTGTTGTATTCAGGAAGGCTTAAATGTGTTCGTGACTTCGTGTGCCACATAAAATAAAAGTCGTCTATCCTCAGGAGTCATGGCTTGGTTGTCAGATGTCCTATTATAATTGTATTGAATAAGAGGAATAATAAATCAATAATAAGTTCTGTTACTTCTCATTTAATCTAATAATTGAAGGGAAAATGGTGTTATTTAATCTTGTGCTGTTCACAGTTGTAATGTAATTTTTATCAAGTATCTTCTTGTTTTTCTCAAATTAGTGACAAATAAAAAATACATAAAGATTAATAAAAAAAAAGTTCAAATTCCTTTTTATTTACCTTAAAATTTAAATTTAATATTTTAATTTGAATTGTCAATTACCTAAGTAGTTCATCTTTTTTTATTGGAAATAAGAGATTCTAAATTCGAATCGTATGACATGTGGATGAGATGTGATAAAAAATGAGAAATAATTATTTTTCATTATGCAACTAAGATTAAAAAAAAATTTAATTTGAATCTTTTATCAATTAAGAGATTTTAAAGTTACTTGCCAATTATAAATTTGATAAAAGGATTTGATTAAAATTAGCATTAGGGACAAAGTTTATAAGCTTTTAGATGTTATTATTAAATAAATTCAACTATATATGATGGAATGGACTATTAAATTGAAAACATTTTCTCTTACCGGACTAAAATATAATTGAGTATACTTTTTTGGACTGTTTATTTAATAACAAAATGTTATTCGATGTACAACTTAAATTATTACATTTTACGAGTTTATGATATTGGTGTAGGTAGTCTTTCCATGGAAAGGTTAATTTTTTGTTATTTAAATTACAAAACAAAATTTTATAATTTAATTACTAAAATTTATACCAATAATACATTTTATTAAATTAGTATTTATTAATTTAAAATTTTTATTTTGATAGGAGGTTGAAACCTATATATTTTTTTAAGTATTAACCTTATACTATTCCATAATTATATTCAATTTCGATTAATTTGAAATCGAGTCTCGTTGAACCCCATTAAAGTGAAACTCTTCAAATACTTATTTTTTTATTCACAAAATTCAAATTCAAGATTTTACAAAGAACCGATTTCTTTTCACCTCAAACTAACAATTTATTGATTAGTTGAAACCTATATATTATAAAGCATTCAATGTACCTAAAAAACTTAGGGTAGTGTTATAGGATAATTTTTTTATATTATTTTTTGATAAAATTTGTATATATTATTAAATAAATAAATATATTTAATATTACCAAATTTATAAAAAAAATCATATAAATATCACGTCAATAAAGAGAAAAAGGTAAAATAAAAAAATTCTCCCAATATCATTTCCCAACAACTCAACCCAAAAGTATTCCATTTAAATCCAATTTTCCAAAAATGCCCCTACATTTTCCAGCCGTCAGTCCACCATCTTCCTGAATCCTGAATCCTGATTCTCTTCCCGGTGAAAACAGAAACCCTCATCAGAAACCCGAACCAAACGGGTGCTAACAGCAACAAACTCTGCACGCAATAAGAATGTGTATGCACAATGCACATGCCACCGGTGAGTTGAAGAAAGTAGGGAGTACAATTTTCTCCCTTCAATTATTTCTTCAAAGTGGTTGGCTAAACTTTTCACAGTTGCATTTCTTCAAACACCTGGAGGACACTGATGGAAACAGGAAGAAGGCCAACCCTTTCACCTAAAGCTCTTATGCACCAGAAATTTTGCATCAAGGCATTGTATAAAATAGAGGAAGTACAGGAGCCTGCCCAAAATGGGTGCCTGCATTAGCAATCGCTCGGAAAGGAACCTGCCACTACCGCTGCAGCTTGAAGCTCCCAGATTTTTCCATTGTTTCAGACAACTGCAGGAAGAAAAAGGATGCCGAGCAGTCTGCTGCCAAGATCGCACTGGAAAAGGTTTGCTTAGCTTCCCATTTTCTTTGGCTGCATGAATTTTTCTCATGTAACATGATTTTTCTTGTCTCTGTTGCTAGGATTGCCATTTTGATTTCTACCTCATCTTAACAAGATTGCCTTAGCTTAATATTTTGGGTTTTAAGTAATCTAATGAAGGCAAGATCTTTTTCATTTATTTTTATTGTTTTTATTGCAGCTAGGTAACCACCCTTCAACGGATAATGCCACTCCAAAGGAAGCATAGGAGGATTTGATTTCGCATATGGGTTAGTATTTTATACTGAAATGAACTTTAATAGCTATCTTCCAAGAAATTATAAACATAATAATGTCAATTATGCACAGGGAGATATGCCTGTATCAATATGTATGTTTTTATTACTATTTGTAATATCAAAATGTTGATTAGATATTATATATTCCTGTATAATCCTTCACCTGATAGAAGTACACATCCATCCAGTTTCTTCTGAAAATATGGTATCAATATGTATGTTTGGCTCTCTGAACAGTTCTGCTTTCTTCCATTTGTGATGTTTGTTTTATCTCTTTAACATGGAGGTTTGTGTTTAGCAACCATTTTTTATATATTGAACTTTGAGGGTTATATTATTAGCCTATGCTGCCATGAGTTTAGAGAAAATAGTTTTTTCATTGTAAAGTTCTTGTCAGCTCTTCATCCACTGAGTCATCACTTTAATGCAGCATTGCGGAGAGGTGGTGATCTTCATGGTTCTGTTACTGTTTCTGTTATTGCTAGTTGTGTTGAAAAGCTTACCAGTCTCTGCAAATTAATCAATCCAAAAGTGGAGTCAAATTCTTTCTTGGTTATCTCCTATATTCTGAATGCAGCTGCAAGACTATCAGAGTTTGTTGTTAGTTCTGAGGGACAGCTTTCAATTCAGAAGCAAAATCCATACCCTCCTGAGGTTATTGAATCATCAATAACCCAAGAATCAGATGCCCTGGAAAGCATGTGGACTGGGGCCATACATATTCCATTCATGCTAGAAAAGGCTATTGAGCCAGTGACTCTTCAAGTTCCTTCAAAAGGGTATCATGTGGATGCTATTGCACAAAAAATTGGTTTACCAGATGCAAAGAGACTTCTAGCCTCCAGGTATTCAGAAACTTTTATATGGTAAACAACGTGAGAGCTGTAGGTCTTTCTACAAGTAAGGAAACACAGTATAGCAGCATATAATTTCATAATTTACTAATTGCTCTCAATTTCGATTTTTTCATAAGATCTATTTAACTAAAATTAGTTAAAAATAAAGTATGATAACTTAAAAGATGTTTGAAATAGATATTAAAAAGCAGAGATCTTAAATATCTGATGTGTAAACATTCTCCGTTTTTGCTGTGTGGCATAGTCTCTATCAAATCAATTAACTGCTTCTCCCCTGATTGACTAAATTCATAGCTGACATTTTGGAAGAGTTATAGGTCATTGAGCATATGGAGGAGGATTAGGCCTGTCAGTTTGGTGATGTTGTGCTGAGTTCCTTTCATCCAAGGATTCATATTGTTTCTACTCCAAATTATGAATACAATGTGATACTTCAGAGCTCCAGCCTATCCGGCCAAGAAGATGAGCCAACAAGGAAATTCAGGCACAGTTTTGTAAATTTTGCAACCATGACCACAAGTTTGAGTGGAATAGAGAACAGTTTAATAACTGGGCATCTGAATTAGCCACAAGGCACAATTATAGTGTTGAGTTCAGTGGGGTTGGTGGCTTAGCTGACTGGAAAGCTGGGTTTGCTTCTCAAATTGCGGTCTTCAGGAGGGGATTCCTACCTGAGGGAGAGGATCTTCCAAAGAACACAGACCCGGCGTGCCATTACAAAGTTATATGGGAGTGAAATGGATAAAATTCTGCACTTTGACCAAAAAGAAGAAGAAGAAAAGTAACAATACAGAGAAAAATTTTGCTTTTAGTTAGATATTTGTGGGCTAGTTGGGATAGAATACCAAATTTTGAGCATCGTTTCCCCATAGGCCTGTGATGAATGTATGTTGAAGAATTGAACCTAATACTATATTTGCTAATGTATTTGCTTTCTCTTGTATGTCTGCATTTGTTCAAAATCTGAAAATATATTGAAAAAAAAAATGCTCTTTACAAGATATTTACCTTCTCCCTCATTCCACAATCTCTTATCATTACATGCTCCTTATGTGCATATAGGGGATTCGGTGAAATCTATTGAGCATTTTCTTTCAAACCAGCATTAGTTATCATGCCATGTATCTGTTAAGGTGATATATTTTTTTTAGAGGCATACTCAAGAAGTTTATTCAGTCTGTAGAATGGAGTTGAAAGCAGCAGTTGTGGTTGTATATTATGATGATTCTTTATTCTTTCATAATCTTTCTTGAGCATACATTTTTTTTCCCAGTTTTTTCTGTAGAGTTTTCAAAGGATTGAAGAAGATATTGAAATGATTCAAAACAAAGGCATCATTGAAGAGGGAATGGCTTTTGGTCCATATAACAATTGAAGGGGAGAAAGCAAGGCGGTTCTTTTCTTGCCCTATGCTCACATGCCTGCTGCAATATTGAGTAACATACAGGTAAGTTTTTCATTTTTTGTCTTTGCATAACCCTTTTTCTCATGGAATGCAGAATGCTATCTGCAGCTTGCTGCACATGACAAGGACTGCAAAGCAGAATGTTGGCATTAGAGGAAAACAAATTATGGAGTTGTGCAAAATAATCTGCCCTGTATGAATGGTGGAATCTAAGAGAAGGTGCCTTCAATCTTCCCTTCTGCATCTCTCTAATTTTTTAGCATAAGCTTTCTTTGTTCTTGAAGTATGAAAACTTCTTGTTCTCTTAGTGATGCTAATATTAATTTTAATGGAAAAATTTTTGGAAATGTTATGGCACAGAAGCCTTGTGCCTAAATTTGTTTAGGTGCTATTGTCTGAACATAGCATTGAGTCACCTGGGAAAACTTGGATTATAATTGAAGAAAATGCTCAATAAATTTAACAAGAATGACGGTAAAGCATTGAGGTGTCCCACCTGCCCTTGGAGAAAAGTCAATAGGTTCGGTAAGACTAAAATGAAAATTGAACATAAATACAAAGATCCAAAAATAACCATTCAATTAAGGTAATGTGCATCGACTTGGGGAGTTGGTTCCTTATCTAATTTTAATGTTCAAAGCCAATTAGCCATTTTCTTTCTTAGATTTAATATGATATTACAACATATATAGCGTCACAACCTGTGTTTTCCTTTGTCCTCTTCTCATTAAATTATGTGTTAGATCGGTTTTAGGTTCGGCTTATTTCATCCTTAATTAAAAATTTAGGTTCATACCAAGTCTAGTTGATTTATTAAGAAGAGAAGGTATACCTTTTTCAACTCTCAATGAAGATTCTTAAGGAATTGTAATTTAATTAATAAGAGAGTTTTCTCCTTACCTTGATGATCAAAATTTAATCTTTTAGAGAAGCTATTGAGGAGATAATTTCTCATAAATCTCTTAATCTTGGCACGGATGGCTTGTTTTTTATTGAACCAAAGAGAAATTAATTTTGAGGTATACACAAGCCTAAAGATAACCTTGACAACTAAACCAAGAAAAAAAAAAAAAAAAAAAATCTCCTTTAATCAAACCAGACTCAAGGTGCTCATAAATTTACCCAAAATACCTTGACGGCGAAAAATAAAAAAATAAAAAAACCCCTCCCTCAACATAGATAAATCTTATACCCGCTCAACTAAGGAGAATCTACATGCGACGGCTATATTATATATATTGTTGATTTTATATTGGAAGCTTCTTCTCCACTTTGAAATAGTAATCCTTTTCTTAGTCATTTAATGCGTGAAACATTTGTCATCTGTGGCTCTATTGTTTCAATTAAATAGTAATGTGAAATGTGAACTCATATGCCTATATTCGCGGCTATGACATTATGAAAACGTAGAAAGAGAACAATGTACGAAGTGTTCCAAATAATAAAATTTATTTGAAAATGGACACATGAACCCTTAAGAGTCAAATAATGGAAACTTCATCAACCACATATCTACTTACATGACTTTGTCAATCCAATAAACTCTTTCTTGCATCTATATCTATCTATCATCTGCAAGAAACAACTTTCATTATATTAACAAATTTCATCCTTCTAAGTAAAGGTTTTGGATCAAATATGGCA